GAAAACATGCCTGCCTTCCCAATATTGCTCTTTTTCCATCACCTCAATCTGCCGGTCGTCAGCTCCCACTTCCCTCCAGCAGATGTGCTGCCGTGGCTGAAGGAGCAATTTTCATCATTCCGCTCATGAATACTGGATGGCTGTAAGTGGTTCTGATTCCAAGGTTACAAAGGTTGCAGACGGTAATCTGCAACCTTTTGCTCCCTGGGAAAGGGTTTCATGGAAAACAGGCTGTAAAGTGCTGATGCAGCTGAGCTGCAGGAGAACCACCGCGAGGAAACAATGAGGACCACTTTCCTGCTCCACAGACGATCTGACTTCCCTCTGATTGCCTCCTGCTGACCCCGGCCCGTCTGTGGATGCTGCTGCAGGCAGCAAACAGCAGATTAAGAGCAATACGGATCGGGCCAGTGAAGGAACGTTGCATGTGGCTGCCACAACTAAAGCTGCTTGAATATGAGCCAGTGACATTCCTGTTGCTAGCTAGCAGGAGCAAACGTGTAACTCAGAGGATTGTTCTGAAGAAGAGAACAATCAGAAATGATAAGCAAAGCTCCCATTCGTGTGACTAGCAGTGACTAAACACAACAATGACCAAAGTGTTAGTTTTAACTAAGTTTCAGTGTTTTCAGACCTTTTTGGTCAGATGCCCACCATCCATCTATTTTTCTCTGCTTATCTGGAGTCAGGTCCAGGGGCAGCAGCCTAAGCAGGGAGGCCCAGACTTCCCTCTCCCCAGCCACTTGGGCCAGCTCCTCTGGGGAAATCCCAAGGTGTTCCCTAGCCAGCCGAGAGACATAGTCCCTCCAACGTGTCCTGGGCCTTCCTTTGGGTCTCTGGGTTGGACGTGCCTTGAAAACCTCACTAGGGAGTCGTCCAGGAGGCATCCTAACCAGGTGCCTGAGCTACCTCAGATTGCTCCTCTTGATGTTGAGGAGCAACGGGTCTACTGTGAGTACCTCCCGGTTGACCCGTTGCTCCTCCCGGACTTCCAATAGACATGTACAAGCTATTTAAAGCAAAATTAATTCCCCCATTACTAGAAGTTTATCTGGAATCCTTTACAACAGGTTGCCTACCTGCTACATTACGTAGTGCCCTGATCATTCTCATTCTAAAACCAAACAAAGCGCCAACTGAAAGCGGTTCTTATAGACCCATATCGTTGTTAAATTCTGACTCCAAAATCATAGCTAAGGCTCTGGCTATGAGGCTGGAGAGGGCTCTTCCAGCCATTATACATGGAGATCAAAATGGTTCTGTTCAAAACCGTCAGGGGTTCCATAATGTGAGGAGAGTTCTCAATATAATCCATAAGTGTGAAGAGACACCTGACACTGCAATACTATCACTCGATGCGGAGAAGGCGTTCGATCGAGTTGAATGGCCCTATCTAATTGAGGCGCTTAAGCGTTTCGGATTTGGTGATCACTTTCATAGATGGGTTGAAATTTTACTTGCTAATTCGGTTGCAATGGTATCTACTAATAATCTCATCTCTCATTCTTTTGAGCTATTTCGAGGCACCAGACAAGGGTCTCCAATTTCACCTCTGCTTTTTGTACTAGCCATGGAACCTTTAGCAATAGCAATTAGATCACATCCATCAATCCAGGGTATTAAAATTGGAGAGACGCTACACAAAACAGCAATGTACGCTGATGATACTATTGTGTTTCTATCACATCTTGCAGAATCAATACCATCCCTCATGAAGCTATTCGATCAATTTGGCAGTTTCTTTGGGTTCAAAGTAAATAGAGAAAAATCGTCCATTATGTTTTTAAATGTAAAAGAGAGGGTGAAACCAGTTGTGTCCCATCCATTTGTAAATGCCATAGAGGGATTTAAATATTTGGGCATCAGAATAACCCCAAAAATAAGTGATCTTAGCTCAGCCAACTATGAGCCCATGGTAATTGAGGTGCCGGATGAGATTACTAGATTAACATCACTGCCTCTTTCTTTACTGGGAAGAATAAACATAGTAAAAATGACTATATTACCTACATTTCTATATATCTTTCAGTCAATTCCGCTGGCCCCTCCTCCTCCTTTTTTCTCCAAGATCAGAAAGCTCCTCTCTAATTTCATTTGGAACAACAGGAAGCCAGGACTCAGACTCTCCCTCTTGTATTTACCATATGATAGGGGAGGGCTACAATTTCCAAATTTAGAATGGTATTTTTGGGCTGCTCAGTTGAGGACGACGAAAAAAATGTCCTCAAAAGGTTTGTCGTTACATAGCTATCTATACTCAGCACCATTTAAAACTGTAAAGAAAACTACTACTAATCCATTTGTAAAAAATACTGTTGTTATTTGGCATAAAGTACAAAAAATGCTGAATGACTCTCCAAGGCTGTCCTGTTTCTCCCCAATTTGGGGTAATGAACTTTTTGCTCCTGCTAAAAATGACTTGGGCTTTAAAGAATGGCTTAACAAGGGCATTGCAAATGTGCAGGACCTATACGAGGAACCCTCTTTAATGTCATTCAGGGAATTAAGGGCAAAGTTTAATATTCCGCAGAAACACTTTTTTAAGTACTTACAACTTAGAAGTTTTATTCTGGCACACTTAAATAACTCAGTACATCAACCTCCACTGTCAATCCTAGAAATTAATGTTACAAAAAACTATTTTGATAAAAGATTGGTGTCCCAGTTTTATAGCATGTTAGTTGAAAACCATAAGGACAACTCTGATAGTAGAAGACGGGAGTGGATTAGTGACTTACAAGAAGACATTTCATCTAGTGAATGGAGTAAAATACGTTTAAAAGCACACACTCAAACAACTAACACTCGTTTGAGAATGATACAATTTAATTGGATAATGCGAACATACATATCCCCTGTACAATTGAATAAATTTGATCCTAATATGATTGATCTATGCTATAAGTGTAATAGACATCAGGGTACATTATACCATTGCCTGTGGAAATGTGAAGAGATTCAAAAATGTTGGATTTCAGTGTTACAATATATCTCTCAGATCACAACTTCCCCTGTACCACTTTGCCCTAAGTTATGTATTTTAGGCTTGTACCCAGATGACTGTACTCTGTCGCGTGTCGAAAGAAAAATGATCGATCTTTGTTTGTTACAGGCCAAACGCTGTATTGCATTATGTTGGAAGAATGTTGGTTGCCCCTCCTTTAACCACTGGCTAAACAACGTAACATCGAGTTTAGCTCTGGAGAAACTGACTTATATTGTTAAAGAGAAGGCCTCTGAATTTTATAACATTTGGAGGATATTTCTGGATCTACTGAGGAGTGGGGATTTGGAGGGGGTCGATGGGTGAATAAGATAACTAGACAATGATGAACAATGTCTGACGTGTTGTTGGGAATATACTGTGTAATATAAATTTTTTTTTCTAATTATTATTTTTCTTATTTGCTTGCATTGTTTATCTAAAATTATTATTCACTTACCTTGAATATGTTAGGATTAACATTTTAATTATTATTATTATTAGTATTTTAATGCCTGCCATATGTTCATTATATTTTTGTGTTGGATACGGTTGATGGAAGGGAGGTAAAGGGAAAAAAGGGGGAAGAAAAAAACTAAAACATATGTTTAAAAAAAACAATGCTAGCTTAAACTTGTGTGCTAGCATCACAATATAGTACAGATTACCAGCGTTGTGAGTAACGCGGTACAAAAGTAATTAATTACTGTAATGCATTGCTTTTTGCTGTAATGTAAGACATTACAGGGAAAGAAAATGGTCATATTTACTCGGTACAGTTGTCAGTAACGTACGGAAGCGTATTACCGTCAGTGCGGGGAAAAAAACTCAGGACCAGTATCTCATAATCACGAGAAATGTTCTCGTTAAAACGTGATATAAATCCAGGTCAGGATGCCTCCTGGACGCCTCCCTGGTGAGGTTTTCCGGGCACGTCCAACCAGGAGGAGACCTAAAGGTAGACCCAGGACACGGTGGAGGGACTACGTCTCTCACCTGGCCAGGGAATGCCTTGGGATCCCCCCGGAGGAGCTGGCCCAAGTGGCTGGGGAGAGGGAAGTCTGGGCCTCTCGCCTTAGGCTACTGCCCCCGCGACCCGACTCCGGATAAGCGGATGAAAATGGATGGATGGATGGATTCTCATCCCAGCTGCTTCACACTTGGCTGCGAACCACTCCAGGGAGAGCCGGACATCACGTTCTAATGAAGCCAACAGGACCACACCATCTGCAGAAAGTCAATATCTGATCCTCAAGCCACCTCTCACCGGGGACGAGCCCGACTTACTTCTGGCGATGCGGACCAAGCTCTGGCACCGGTCATACAGGGACCTACCAGCCCTGATCAAAGGGCCTGGTACCCCTTACAGGGAATCCTGAGAGATGTAGTTTAACGCCTTCTCATTACTACATTTGAACATTTTTCTAGAATTACGTTTATTTACGGTAAAACGAGACTTCATAAATTATTTTAAATCATCTGATTACTCCTGAGAAAATGCTGAAGTTTATAAAAACATAATATAACCGAGGCAGCAAACTTAGTTCTCAAAACATTTAGCTTAGAGGCAAAGCGATATATCGGTGGGCCGATTTATTCATTTTTTTCTATATCGACCAAAAATATTTTTTTATATCAATAAAAAAAAATTATTAAATAAAATCAGACACCTGTGTGGCCGACTGCTGCCACTATACTAGACGGAAGGATCCAAAGATCCCCAAAACAACATTTTTTAAAATGTTTTGAGTTTGTTTTATATTTGAATTTCAATAAATATTGAGATTTATTGACTTATTTAATTTATACTGCACACGGTGAGTTGTCTTTCACAATCAATGTGCTGCTAAAACGTAAATATATCGGCTTTAGATATTGGCTTAAAACATTCTTTAAAAATCGGAATCGGCCTTAAAAAACAATGGTCGGCCTCTAATTTGGCCAAAACTGCTAAAGAAACATCATTTTAACCAGACAAGAAAATTCCACACATCCGATAAATCCAGTAGGAGCAGCA